TTGTTTTCTTATAATTTTTCTGTTTTTGGCGAAAAAAGTCCGAATGGTTAGTGGTATCGTTGGAGAGTTTTTCCTTTTTTTCGAGAGATTTCAATACGTTACAAAAATTTCAATCGTTTTTCAATCCTTTGGTATTTTTCGATTCCTGAACTTTAATATTTCTTTTATATGTATGACTTAGTAAGTTAACCATTTTTGGACGATGCAAGTAGGCCTGTATACTGATGAGACGGTAAACAATGCATTTTTATGGGAGCGTTTTCATCAATTGTTCATGGAATTGGTTGAGTGTCTCTGCTATGTCAGCGAAAATCAACGCCACTATGTTTTCTTAGCACCTAACTCAGCTGCACATTGTTGGCTCTTAATATCTGTTCAGGATTTCGTTCCAGTGAAGTTGAAAAAAAAGATGCAAAATTGATTTACAGACACCTTTCAGAGCACTTTTTTCACTACTAAATTATTATTAATATTATTTGTATTGATAAGAATATTAATATTAAGAATAATAATAATTAAAAATAGATGTATTAAAATATATCTTTTAAAAATAGATGTATTGTGCTTTGCTTTTGTAAATCTGTACAATAATCCATTTAAATGTACCAATGAAATGAGAAAATAAAAGAAATAATAATAATTGAATTTGAAGAATCATGTTAATGATAGTGCGCTATTTTCCAATAAAGGGTAAATAAATTTTATCAACACTGTTAACAGTAATAAATAGATTTTTTAAATAAATACAAGATAAACAAAAAAAAATATTTCATCAGAATGCGACTATCGAAGGAAATTGTGGAAAATGGTGCTGTCATTGCTGCGGGCCGAACAATTACAAATCTAGAAGAATGTCACAAGTTTGGGTAGGGACGTCAACTTTTGCTCTTGTTTTCCGTGAACTTCGCTGGAGTCCCTTTCCTACATTATGTTCCGAGCCCCATTTCAGTGTGGAGGCGGTTGTAAATCAACGGGAGAGCGCTGCGCGCACGGTTGAACGAATGTCAGCAGGACGAAGGCTCTGGCGGCGGCCGGGGCTGGGGGGCAAAAGGCCTCGACAGGCCGGCCGGCCCCGCCCCGCCCCACGCCATCGCGCCCCGCTCCGCCCCGCCCCGCCCCGCGCCATCACGCCCCGCGCCGCGCCGCGCCGCTCCGGCGGACAGACAGGTTGACGGACGGCCCAGCGCGCGGGGGGGTGGGGGGGGGAGGGGCGTGCGTTGGATGGCAGCCAGCGCGGCGCGCCCGGGGCTCGATCCGCAGACAGACGCCTCTCTCCCGTCGAGCCATCAAACCCCCGCCGCCCGAGAGGCCAGCCACACACAAATCGAAAACCTTCTCTTATCAAGCATACGGATCCAACACTTTCGTTTGAGGTCCTGGTTTCGATTTTGGTTTTATAAAGATCTTCATAATTTCACGTAACTTAGGATAAATTTCAACTTCTGCAAATTTCGAAAAATCAAGGATTTCAACGAAAAAACGATTTTCTCCATTCTCTTCAATGTCCTTTACGATATTCAAGGACAAACTTTAATCAAACATCTAAGGTCATTTTGAGAAAATTTTGAAAATGTTTCGCGGCTTCTTATACAGTACTTCCAAAATCCAAATATCTGTTTCAAACTCAGAAAATCTTGAGTTTGTTTAAATCGATCGAGGAGTATCAATTTTGGAGAAAATCGACTGAATGATTTAGGCACTATCGCTGAGACAAACAGACCGACAAACGGACAGACGGGCAGACAGACTTTTTGCCGACAAACAATTTTTCGGTATCAAGGACCCAATTTTTTGTCGAAAATGTTCCGTTTTCCGGAGCAGGATTACAATACTTTTTTCTTTCCTAGTAAGGGCGAATAAGTAAAAATAAAATGAAAGAAGTTTGGAAATGTTTCAAAAGTCGTATCGAGAGCGAAATCGTTACCGAAATATTTTATGAACCGTTACCGCAATGTTATTTGAACCGGTTGACTGTCTCACCTTTTATCGCTGGCCCTGAGATAGCCCGCGCTGTTTTGACGTCTCTTTGACGAACAACGTTTCGACGAAATCACATCGCGAGACTCGTCTGTTGGTGCTCATTAACATGCTACAGTCGTAAAAGAAACAAAGATTTAAAGAATATTTTACAAATGTTGGTGAAGTCCGAGGTATTAAGGGTGTCCAGGGAGTATATCGTTGAAAATTCGAAATTACGCTCTTAAGAAAATTTAATGCATATTTTTTCTAATAGCCTCCTTGGATATTCCGAATGGATGAGCCGCAATAATCACTCAAAAGTTGTTTTTTAAAAAAATCCTTTTTGTGCAAAAGTGTTCATTTCAGAAACATATAAACACTTGAGAAACATGTAAGTTGTTTATTATTTACAAAAAAAAGAATAAATATATATGTTCATAAAGAAAAAGTAACACAGAAATAAAAAAAAAACACCCACTTTATCCAATTCGACTGCTTTTCGTTTTTGGGTTAATTTTTCTTTTAAGTATTCTAAGTATTTTCTTTTAATGTATTTTTTTTTGAGTGCTTATTGCGGCTCAGACTTTCGGAATATCCAAGGAGTTTATTACACAAAATATGCTTAAAATTGTTTTAAGAGCTTATTTTCGACGTTTCGTTGTTACCTCCCTGGACACTCCCTCCCTGGTCCACGTCGGCTTCGTTCTCTTAGCATTGCCAGGCAATGAGCGTGGGGAGAACACGAACTTGGTGCACCTGCATTCATGATCCCCGCTGACCACGCCCCTTATGAAGTCGAGAGGCAGAACCGCGCCGCGTTCGCTTGTCAATCGTCACGAGCTCCGTCATAGAATGTATCTCAGCATTCAACATTTGGCTCCAAAACGGACTCTATATGCAAACTCCTGTAGATTTCGTGACCAGATATCCAGCTAACAAACACTGGGAGTTCGCCGTTAGTTTCAAAGCACGAACTACTTTAAGATTTTTGGTTCACATTCTCAGATATTTGTTCCACTGTCTGCGGCAAGAAAAGACATTCAACGTCACTTACTGCTTGAATTAAACAATTTAAACAAAACCATTTGACCTATGTTGTATTGTTTTTGAAAAAAAAGTATAAATATAGACAGCTCTTTTCAACACCAAAATGATTCAACAGAACTTAAATAAATGCGTATTTAATTAACTCTGCTCAAATATGTAACAATAAGGTTTTATATCCATTTATGATTAGACAGGAATATATCAGAGCTCGGGAGACGATCTCATCTCTGTGCGCATTTCTTGGACGTGCATTTTGTTTACAGCATGGACGCTGTGATGGCGGTCAATTTCGATTTAAGAATGTCGGAGAAATTCAGCCCAGAGAGAAGTGCAGTGATCAAAGATTTTTCCAAGTGTTTGGAAGTGTGTTCGCGTGCTTCTTTTACGAGAGATTTTACCGCAGTCATACAACGGAATGGGTGGTACGGCTTCGTAGGCTTGTTATCTCTAGCGGTAACCCATATCTACTATGCTAGTGACCCATATACAAAACAGCTGTACGCAAGACCCCTATGGTCGATATTTCATGTTCATAAAGAGGCATTATATGTGACAGCAATTGATATGATGATTTGGGGTTACGAGAAGAATGGGATAACTTCAGAGTAAAATTTATAGCCCTTTATATTGTTTGCTACACTTTAATGTTCCACTGCGTTTTTATGCGCGTAGGAATTGACATCGTTATCACCATAACGTGGTGTCGAAAGAGCATGGAGGAAAGATAGCGCAATTTAATGATGTGTGAGCTACACGTTATCTTTTATGACCTAACTACTGCACTTGGTGAAATAGAATATGCCAAATTAAATCGTCATAATTAATGGTTCATTTTTATTTCATCAACACTTTTTTCCATCAACAATATAATTATCTGAATATTACCATTTGTTTTAAAACGAAGCGATAAATGTTATTTGAGTTGGAAACGAGCAGAAACTCTACTAAGCATGGTTTTTGGATTCCAACAAGGCATTATTTTTAAAATCATTTATGAAAATTACACCACATCAGTAAGTCAACCTATGAAGTACTAAAAGGACAATATGAATCTTCAAAAGGAACAGACGTATTGCATTGATACATCTTGCGAAATAAGATTTTCGTGTACTTGTAATGATGAAAAGATTGTCATTGTTTTAGACGGTCAGAAAAAGAATTGGACTGGCTGTAGTAGAAGCAACGTGGCGAAAGATAAATAATACAATACACAATCCGCTTCATTTGTACTTTTTGACACTTACTCCGTACCCATCAGATGATATCTAACTACGTCTACATACGACAAATAACATATTTGTTACCCGGCCGCGGAAGCCTACGCAACCAAAGAACATATTGTATACGTAAGCTTCCACAGCACGAATCCATAAATTCTCGGCTATTCGGGGAACGTCGCGTCGTTGGCTAGGAACCCCCGGATAGCCGAGAATTTAAAGAACATATTTACTGCTCATTTTTCTGATAGACAAACTTTGTGAGAAATACGAGCGTTGTGACATTTTTGTTCTTAAACAGCACTACAAAGTATCTAATCGAAAAATTGGATATATATTTTTATAAATATATTTTTTTATGAAAGAATGTAAATAGTTCAGTATTATGTATATACTACATCATATGATTGCAAAAGCGTCGTCTGTCAGTCGACGCAACTAGTTCCGAAAGGAAAGCTCCTGCACTTGCCCTCACTCCCCGTTTCGGAAACTGTGTACTTGTGTACAAGGTACTAGTGCGGACGTTTCTCACAAGCCATGTGAGGACAGCACTAAGCAAGTGACTGATTTCAAGTCATTTAGATGTGTCTATAAAAGCCTTTAAAACATATTTTGTAACTTTATATCATGCATGTGGAATCCATTCGATTTAGTGTTTCATTGTAAAAATACATACTCAAAGCAGCCTTTGTAATAATGGTTGGTGCATGTCGCCTGTGTAATCTTACGGTGTGGTGTTGTGTGCAGGCGGTACGGCACCAAGTGCGGGGGCTGCAGCCAGGGCATCTCGCCCTCCGACCTGGTGCGCAAGGCGCGCGACAAGGTGTTCCACCTCAACTGCTTCACGTGCATGGTGTGCCGCAAGCAGCTCAGCACCGGCGAGGAGCTGTACGTGCTCGACGACAACAAGTTCATCTGCAAGGACGACTACCTGGCGGGCAAGACGCACCAAGGTAGGACACTGCATGCTCTGCGTTGCGATTACAGACGTTCGTAACTGTGTAGGGCACTGTGTCACATTTACTAAATTTTGCAGAAGTGTAGATTGAAAATGTTTTACTTCGGTCTTGGAAGTGGACTTGATGATATTTAAAAGCAATGTTACTCCCCCAAATCTTCATGTAGGACATACTGTTGCTTATCTCTGTGAAGAGGACACATATGATGGTGGCAGAAATCTCATTTCAGTCAAAAATGGACATATACCTTCGTCCCACAGATATATTTTTTGAACATTTTACAAGAAGCTTCTGGATTGGGTGCTCTTTTTTTACATTACCTTTTAAATTAAATATTTTAAAAAAACATAGGTGTTGGGAGTACTGATTCTGAGTGGAGAATTCCATGGAACTATGCATATTACCGTTGAATTTAAATTAGGGAGAGGAAAAGAATAATGGATGTTTCAAACTCGAACTTAGCCACCATTTCTGACGACGCGATCTGTGGCATGTGAGATTCAACCTCGCCTCGGAGGAAGCTTCAAACTGTCGCGCAACAGCTAGTATGGCCCCCTTGATGTCTCCATATTCGCCGATAGTTTTTGCCACTTTTGGCGAGTCATGTTGGTCCCAAAAGGGTTTTGGAAGGCCGCAAGTTGCGCCCGAGCCGTGTTGGTCCTGAAACTGTTTCGGAAGGCAACTAGTTGCGCCCCTGTCGCCAGGAACGGTAGATGATGGTGCGGAGGCAGGGGTACGGAGTGGGTGTAGACTTCGTGGTTGGGGGGAGGGAGAAAGGGGGTAGTCATGGTGCGGCGGCGAGCGCAAAAGCAGGCAAAGGCGCCTGCGTGGGATCTGCGCCACACCTCCGAAAGGAAACCATCGCTCACGGGAGGCTGCAAAATGCGCGAAGGTTCAAATGCGCGGAGAAAATATCAAAAAGCGGTCACCAATCTCACACACAAGTGCTCGACAGTGAATCTGATTTAAACGTTTACCTTCTGGTGCACGCTTATAGAGATTGGGAGATTGTAAATGTTTTAAACCAATGTATAAAAGTATTGGCAACCATCGAAATACAATCTATAGATTGAAATAGTTTAGAGGAATAAGGATCACACTAACAAGACGAAAATATCACTATTACGTTTATTCATATACAGAATCTATTAGAACTTTCCAAGTGTTATTGATGTGATATTTAGGAAAAATTCAACTTACGTATTAGAACACCTTTCTCAAACACATATTCCGATTCAACATGTGAAACACAGTTGGTTTTATTCATCTAATTGGTTGGATGGAGGTACGTTATCTGAAGAGTGTAAAACCAGAACATCTAAACTAAATGATAGGTTACAACGCAAATATATGAATATAGTAGTCAATAAAAAGTATATATGTGTACTATCAATTACTGAAGGGGAAAAATGGGTAATTCAATTTTCCAAATTAGGTTAGAAATAAAATAACTTACAAATATGATTAGAATTCGAATGAAGTTCTATACCTTTTCGGAATTGTTTTCCCACAACAATCCCTTTGGCAATAGATGAAGAAGGGGAAGTAAAATGAAATAATTTTATTGCAGCATACATCTCCGTCGGTACCATGATAAACAACAGTGCAATACTATGGTGACTAGGAGCTAGATAGAAGAACAGCCTTTTAAGTATTAACTGCCAGTTTGTGCGTAGCAAGCAGGGCTGATATTGCTGAAAGGCATGGCTCCCATTACTACAAGCAAAAATGATATTTTACGTTTCAATTATGACACTGAAACGCGCACATCGATTTTGGGCTGGCGAGAAACCCGCGTTCAACGCCTCCCCTTTGCGATCGTTGCGTGCTCGAAACAACCGCTGGGGATTCAAAGAAAGGCAACCTCGCGCCCAACGTTTCTCGCGTAGCGAGTGCCCTGCGGGCGCCGCCGCCGTGCTCCGCGGGCGCTATCAAAGGGGAAACGCGCAGGTTTTAAGATATCGGCGGTCG